CATTTGCTTAGATCAATTACTCCTCTACCATTTTACCGACTGAGACGCTAACTCGAGTCGAACCCCCAACCTCTGCCCATTGACCTTCTAGGCATGATTGGATTTGCGGCTTGACAAAAGCCATCTCGTATAGCTCGTTGGTTCAGAGAGGTGCACAAGCCATCACACCACGTCAAGGTGCAGTCCCGTTCTCTAAATGAACTGGTTATTTTCGTTAGTGAAAAACACGCCCGCACGTGTGCAAATTGTAATAAACCCTACATCAAATGCACTCATACCAACCCCTAGAAACTCTCGGAAGTGAGGGGATCAATGACTTCAGTTGTAAAAGACCAATCACAGCGACCTTTGTCAAGACACCGTCATTGGAATCATGCTGCTTTTAAACACGATCCAGGTAACCAGTCGGAAACCCACCACACCCTGGTAAAGCCACTGCTATTTGCACAGACAATGAAACCTACCGACAACAATAAACAACACTAACAACCAATACAAGAGTATTGAAATAAACGTAGTTCGTTCACTGAAAATTGAATGTTCTAGCTTTGAGGGTTACCTGAAATAATTTTTATCTATTGGTTAAGCTTTCCAGCTTTTCGGAGGTAGCCATACACTAAATACCCGAGATGTCACTTCGGCTGATGACAAAGAAAATTTCGGTGTAAACGGAGTAAAGTGTTATCACGGTCTTTCAGTTAGTCACTCATGTACGGCTCAGTTGCAATTTCTGTCTTTTTGCAAAGGAATTTCGTATCTTCCCAGGGGCTCTCTATGAAGATACAATCAGATAGTCTTCTGGAATTCCTCAAGACGAAAACCATCCTACTATTGTGGAATAGTTGTTGTCCTGCTTATGGGATTATAGTTCATGTTATCGATGAAAGGCCGGGTTTGGGTGAAGTTTACATTGCCGTACTTGATCTCCTTAAGCGAGCTGCAAAATACTACTCCTGACCACTACTGTATCTTTATTTGGAGCGAACTAGTGAAAGATTTAATTAAAGAAACGGGAAAGCTGAGATCACCGTAAAGCTGTTTGCACCTGATTGGGTTTCATTAATAGTGCAATCAATCGACCAAACTGGGGATTGAACCCGTGACCTCACATATAGAATGCGGGCGTACTACCCACTCCAGCACCAGGCACCTGACTAGACCATTTTTCATTTTGCACATATACCGGATAATGTTAAAAGCGACTGAATAGTACGACGTACTCAAAATGCTGTTTAATAGTGGAGACTTTTAAACGGCACTCATCTTGCAAATGCAATAGAAAGGTTCCACCAGCTTTTATTTTTATCTCGCATTTGTACTGACCTAAGTTAGGCAGGCTTTGTTTGGGTGTTTCATTCACGAAGTACTTCCTGGGAATCACAAAATGTGGCATAAAACAATTGCACATGAAACGGAAGACCTGCATAAAAACCGTATACAAAGACTCGACCGAAGTTCCTTGTAAACTCAATATCTGTTACAGGACACCCCATATATTGTTTAGGACTGTTTTTATATAGAATAATACTGGAGGAAATTTATCGGAAAACAGAGCTATCAAATTGACGAGAACGGCAGAATGTTCAGCAAAGGACACCAATGGTCGTCAAGAATCCTACCAGCATTCGTGGCAAAGAGGGAAACAAGCCGATCGATCAGTTTTCCGATCCAGCATTAAAGAAACAAGTATTGATGCCAACGCTGCCCAATCCTCTGGAATATTCCTCTCCTTGGTTAAGTGTGGACACTGCACCAATACAATCAAGTCAACAGTGTTGAGCATTCGGAATCAATGCGATTCAAACAGTTGCTGTGTGACAAAGAGAACACAAACATTTGATTGGTTAAGATCTGCTTAACCAACGCTCTTTTGTTGTGCATATTATTTACAACCATTGATCTCTTCCAGTACACTGAACCGCCATTTTAGAAACCTTTTTCGTATATCTCGTTGAAGTTAAGCTTTAGCAGATGACTACCAATGCAATCTCCTGATTCCAATGTGATTTGTGATTCGTGTCTCTTCCTATTAATATGAATGCCTGGCGTGATTGTCTATTTATGGGTGACATATATTCGCATCTCACTTAATACATCGAATTTTCACAGTGAAATAATTTGTTAGTCATGCAATAATGACATTTGATGAGCGCGAAAGAACAATGGTCACAAAATATAGAACCAACGAATTTTTTCAGAGTGATTCAGAGGCCTGGTGATGAAGTAGACAACAGAATCAACCGTGCTCAATATGGACCTGTTAGTTTCGAATACAAATGGGAGAGTATCAGGGAGTACATACTTGATCGAGAACAACGGGTTCAGTAAGTAATAGCCGTGAGGAAGTGATGGCAATAGTATGAAAAGTGTTAGATCAAGTTTTGGGAGGTGGAGAAAACGAATCAGGAAGCTAAAAGATATGGAGAGATTTGTCTGTGAGAGCCTTCATCATCTCAGTTGGTGAACTTGACGATTGCCTAGGATACACCAACGGACCAACTGCATACCTTAGTTTGGAGGTTCGGAAGAGGTGGAGAACTTCATCTGTGGGAAAAGGGTCAGTTCAGAAGCAGCTTGATGCAGCAAGCAAGCAGGTGAGCAAGTGGATTATCATTGATTTCAACTTGCTGATGCCAGTGTTGTGAAGTTCAGCAGTTTTTCGTTGTGCAAAGAGTGGGGGATATTTTGCCAAACTGAAATGTCATTCTTGCTTTCTAGTAAGTGTCCGCAAACAATTTATCGGGATGTTTTATTTCAAACCTGATCGCAGTTAATGTATTGCAAACGAATCAGGAGAGTTATAGACCAAATTTTAAGATACATAATTAAATATCCAGTCCCAGCTTTGGTCAGTCGTTGTGAGTTCAAAAGTTTTGTCCTGTACGTTTTAAATTAAGTTATGACTCATATGATTTCAAATCTGTTGAGTACAGCACCTACGGAATATCCGCTCTGAGGATTTTTCAAAATCAATCTGATGGTTTTCAGACGGCTATCTGGAAGGACTTGTGGATCCTACGCATAATATAATCCATGCAAAACAATCAGATAGTTTTGCGAGAATAGAAATAAAACTAACTTAATGATCTCTCGTGACAACGAAAATTGGCTTCCATCTGTTCCAAGTGGGTGAAATTTTGAGGTGTTTCTGCGACAGTTAGAATCAGCTCTAGTTGCTTGACGACTGTTTGAGGTCCATTAGCAGCATCATTGCCAGCTGAAAAAAATGTCCTTTTCATTTCGTTTTTGTGTAAACAAGTAGTGGCAGAGTGATCTTATGCAGAGTGGTTACTTTATGAATTAGTCACTATTCTTCAGAAAGGAGGAGTTAGTGATCATGATGCATTCATGATCTACTGGATAATTTGCAATTCTCCACGTCACTTCTTTCGTAGCAGTTGATTCCGATGGTACGCTACCTTGAAACTAAAGATAATTTGGGTAAAAGCCTCAAGTGAGGGTTTCTCGTTCAAATCAGAAATCCACGCGTAACTGTTTGTTTTCCACCTGCAGCTTTTATCTACCGCGTTGGCTGGCGCGAACACGTTTTCCAACTTACTTCAAACATTCACAGACAATTAGGCATCAAGGTACTCTACCAAACTCCCAAACCTTACCTATGCATTCTCGATGTCGGCAGTCTTATTCAACTACAGTTGGATAATGGTTTTGTCACGATTCAAGCAAATTATGGTAACGGTAATTGTAGTTTTCCTTTTTCGATTAAAGTGAAGAATTCGGACTAAAGCACAGTCCGTTAATGAACTTAGCTACTTACTGCATTCAACTTGTTAATTCATATATGAATAGTCTGTTGAACGGTGAAACAATGCATGGTTTGTATGTTACGATCCTTACTTCTATTTCACTAGTTATTTTCCATGGAGAACTCATGCTGAGCTCACAAAACCGTCACCAGTTTATTTAAAACCTGCTGTGCATCAGTGTGCTGAACTGCCAATCATAATCTCCTGACACAAGACGTGCTCAGAACTGGATTAATGGCACGTCGACGGATATCAATATCATTGAAAATATTCCCATCTTGTGAACCAGAACATACACACCCAATGTTGACACTCATTTTTTGGCAAATTAATTCTTAAACCCATATGATCACATTTGAACGCAAGAAAACTATACAGAATCAAACAGAGGGACGGCGAGAGAGAGAGTGGGCATGTGTGCTATGCGTCATGAGGGTTCAAGTACGTTACACACGAGTGCGGTGCTCGGGTTACTCAATTCGACCGACCTGTGGCACGTAAAATTGCAACCCCCGAACGATTTTGACAGTTTGGGCGAACATTCGGTATGCGCAAGGGGTCGGATTTCACGAGACGGTTGCCAATTACCCCTGTTCTTTCTAAAGTTCGAAACCTCATTGCTCTTGAGGGGTTATATGGGACTGTGTAAATGATGAAGAACAGCAGCTTAATACAGCTGCACTCCTACCGGGCGTCAATCAGTGGAGATTGTGTTCTTTGATAAAATTTGGGAAAACCATGTATTGCTATTGGAACTACTTATGTTGCCGCACCAGTGCACTAGCATTGGTAGATTAAATCAAAATGGTAGATTTTATTTCGTCGCAGCATTGAATTCCCGTGAAGGTGAGATAGGGAGAGAATTCACGTGTTAGATTAACCTCATTCAGGTGACTTTAATTACGATGTATAAGATACTGCTAAAACTTCGAGCTACAGCATCCCATCTTCTTCATTGCTTGGTTTTGCATAATTTTGTTCTACATAAGTGAGATTGTATGAACACCAGGTCAGTATCCAAAGCAGCAGAAATTAAAAGATAAAAATTCTGAGGAAAATAAAGCAAAATGTTCATTTTCAAAATTAAACCTCCAAAATATAGAATCGCGCCTGTTTTGGCCTGCAGTCGAGTGATGTGCCCATCACGTGATTGACCGTTGCGGCCAGAATAACTACTTAATTCACTACTTGCGTACTTATCGACATTTGGCATCGCGGACATTGAATCTGAAAATGGCTAGTTACTTATATGTCCTCGTGCAATTCTGGGATGATCCTGCTGCAAAACCGTCTGCTGAAGCATGGAATACCTGGAAAACTACATTTACAGACTATTTGGATCTACTGTGTGTATTTAACCCGGCGGTGCAGCTAAACAAGAATGACAAAATCAAATTACTCCGGCACCATTTGGACTAGGAAGGTAGACAGCTGTTTGACACACTTGATCTGGAAGTCAAATCAAGTCAACAAACCATTTTTCATGCATTGGACAAATACTGGGACATTCGTCCTAATACTTTCGTTTCCAGATACAATTTTTCGTTGCTAAAGCAAGCACCTGATGAAGACTTATCTACGTTCATTTCCCGTTTATTGCGCGCATCACGTCCCTGTTTCGTACCCGCGGACCAATTGGTGGAAACATTACTAATTCAGCAATTAATTTTTGGAATTAATAGTCATTACATACGTAAGGAACTGATAACAATGGACACCGCACAACTGACTTGGGAACATGTATGTGACACTGCTAGAGCAAAATGGGATTTAAAACGGCAACTGGAAATTTCCCGTTCTGATTCTCAGACTACTGTATCCCGGATAGACGTGTGCCACCCTAACAGGAATACTACAAACAATCATGGATGTTTCCGCTGCGGAAGTAAACAGCATAGAGCTGATTATACAAACTGTCCAGCATTACCATCAATGTGTTTCTTCTGCAACAAATTCGGCCACTTTGCTCGTGTGTGTCGCTTGCATTCTGTTTATACTATTCGGCCGTCATTGAAGCCATCTAACTACAGTAGATGTACTGTTGGACCTACAAGCAGGTTTCAACCTGATTGCTTGAATGAGATTTCTCTTCAATCCGGTGGAAAGGAGAAAATCGACAAAAATGACGTCATTTCTTCCATACAAGCCATACGTTGTAACATTTCATCAAAAAGCTTACAAAAGACGATTATTATCCAGCGCACACCCAAGCACATGATTTTAACATTCCGCGCAGTCCGTTTTCCAGAGGAGGATCCGGCCCTTCTCAACTCTTTCCTCATCATAGCAACTCAACTCCATATGTCCGTACTTGTTCGGTGCAAAAGAACAAGCGGAAAAGTGTCATCTTTAAACCGCCATGTTTACAAACGAAATCGGTTTTAGAAACGTGTCAGTCGTCAAATGACTACCAAATGATTTCTCGAGGTCTGCACGCTTCATCTGAACGCATTACACGAAGGCGAATGCGTTGTTGCGTTATCAAGTCATGTGGGGAGATTCCGTTTATCAGGAATCAGCTTCTATTGATCCAGCCGCGTTACGGATTTCTTCCGAAAAGGAGAGGTGATGTTGTGGCTTGCTGTTGAGTGACGTCCCCATCACGTGACTGACCGTTGCGGCCCGCCACCACACGCACGTACGCACAGCATGCGGACTTGCTCCGTTACAAGGTCGATCCACTTCAGCTAATCAGAGGTCAGTATTGACCTGTCCGCATTGATTGGTTTGTTGACTGCCCAACGTGATTACATACTCCTTTTGGTAACACTTGCGCCAGTTTGTGCCTACCTGTCTGCTTGCTCACTGGCCTACGGACCGGCTACATTTGCATTTACATACTGGAAATAGAGTAACTACTGAATTCACTACTTGCGTACTTATTGACTTATACGGGATACAACAGTGTCTCTTGGAGAGCATATGACACCTAAAAATCAAGGAATGCAAAGAAATGCAGGTCGGAATCTAACAAAAAAGTGGAATGTTGGCTAGAAATATTTTAGGTTATATAGGTTTTGCGGTTTGCTTGTTTGGCTCACGTAGCTTAGTTCTTAGTTCTTAAGCCCGTCTCTTATACTTGATGATGGTTTCACAATGGATTTATTTATTCGAAGGTCAACAAACGGACACCATGAGGTGGGAGTGTGCTCAAGCTATTCCAATGGTTTGGCTGACGAAGCAAAAAACGCAGCGACTGTGTTCTGTCAGCATGGTCTGCCCAAATGAATACCATTGCTCGGCATCCCATTCTTTTATCCCTGAAAGAAGCATTCCCATTATCACACTGTGAACCGCCTGATGTTCAACTAACTACTGAATTGCGTATCATTCCGCCCAATTGAAACTAGAACCAATTTTTTTCATTGTAGCAAAGTGAACTGTTGCGTATCTGGAAATGGTTTGGTTGTGGCGTGGAATATACTGAGAAAAAAAAGGGAAAAATTAATACAAGTGTGATCATGAATAAAAAAACTAAGTTATCATTTTCTAGAGAAAGCGATCAGGGAAAATGTGTTATAACATTCCAAGTCATTAATTTGAAGCAAGAGGGCAATAGTAAAACTCCAGTGGCGCACGATGTTTCCGCATCATCACTTTCCTTCAGGTGACCATTTTTGACCATAGCAATGGGTTAGATTTTCTTCGACTGAAAACGGCTACCCATTCGATTAATGAACTGTTCCCAAAATGTCCGCGCAAACAGCATTCGACAGATGGAGAAAATGCGAAGTTTTCCCACTGTCTCGTGCAGCTAGGCATCATTCATACACTTGGAGGATGAGGTCTAATTCACGATTGACAAATGCACAGAAAGTTTCCGTTGGAGCCCACGATACTTGTATCACAAGGACGCACACGTGTACGGGCACGTGGACCGATCAACCATGACTACAATTACACGTGACGGTGGGTTGTTGTCTGTGACAGACACTGAGGTCCGACGCTGCGAGTGACTGCGAGCGCTAAAATTTAGGAGGATTAAATGACTGGTTGGAGTGAGTCTAAGTGACAAAACTAGAGTTTCCAGTTATTTTATGCAATAGATTTCTTTACTAGGCAATTTTTGTTTGTCATTGTTCAAGTTAGGTGGTTAAACACAATATCAGATTGGGCCGGGGTTACTCAGGCAATCGCACAGCCTAACAGATAGCGAAAAGTTGTCGTGAAGCGGGACTGCCAAGGTCACGAATTGACCACGAAGAATGATCGATGAAATGATGAGACCGCAGTAGTTTATGCCCGTAATTATAGAAACAGTTCACGAGCCTGATATTCAGCTATTCTACTATTTAGTCCATATTGTGATGGAAGGCAGTTCAAAGAGAGTTCTGGCTAGCGACCGAAGCAAAAATGGGGCCCCTCCAACCAGACGCACAGACGCAGTGGCGGGAAGTGCCTCGCGAGACAATGTTGACTGCCACTCG